ATTTGCTAGTAATTGTTTTTCATTTAGAATCCCAAAGATTTATTATTTTTCGAAATGGAAAAAATAAAAAATATATTTTATATCTTCACATGACAACTAATTATTTACTAATATTTCAAGTTTAAATTAATATATCACAAAGTTAAAATATTCAAAACAAAAGACTTACTTCTTCGATTATCGTCGATCTGTAGAAGGTGTGATCATAACGTAACGATGTACACGCGATTTGACTTGTATTTTCCTCAATTGATAAACCATACATTTTGCACGTGTTCGATATTTTCACAGTATTAATTATTTCAACAGGAATGCTGTGATTTTTCCATTTTTCTGTTGTCAAATTAAAATATTCGAATGAATTTTCACACCAGTAATCGACGTTGGGAGCGAGGAAAGCCATACTCATATTGTAACATGCACCAGGTAAGCTTACATACGCTGCGATTGACATAATTATTACGTGCCATTTACCGAAATTTCCAACTAAATCACTAAGATCCAAGTTTTGTTCTTCGCTTTCATTCTCACTAAATTAATAATTAAATTAAATTCTTTTTTAATGCTTAATAATTGCTAAATATGAATGTATACTTACCTGTAAGAATTGTTAGCTAGATGATTCATAATTGGATTTCATATATTATGATATGTATAAAGAAGTCTAATCGCTTTTTACTTCTTCAATACTCTCATTCATTATTTATGTAAAACTATTAACTTATCGTAGATTATGAAAGGAAATGATTTCTAATTTTAGTTAATTTTTTAAAGTTTTGCATCCTTTCCTTAAGAATCTACAACTTAAAATATTCAATTAATGAATTTAAAAAATATTATCCAACGTAATTTTCGACATTGTAAAGTATATAAATGTTAAAATATATTACTCTATATTTTATAAAAGGTCAAAATTTAAATTTAAACATTTTTACGAATCGATTGAATAAAATCATTTTAATTTTAATTAAAAATTTTACTTTTGTTTCATTTATTTACATTTTATATACCTGCATCAGTAAATACCAATACTGTACTTATTTCTTGTTTTTTTGGGGGGTCGAATATCGAAACTGAGCTATAAAACCAGAAGGTAGTTAATAAGCGAAAAACCATATAAAAAACAGCCTTACAAATAGGACGGAATGTATAAATGTTTTATCGTCTTTAACATATATTTAATTAACATGTATACATTTAAGGGGAATGCTTATAGAGTTTATAAGCAGTCTAAATAGTTTTTTTTTAGTTTATTCGACTTAAGGGATGTAAACAGTGAATATGAACAAGTTTATGAAGAGGGGCCATGTTGGTTTCTCATTGTTTACATCTATAAAACAAATAAATTAAAAACCAATTAACGGTGGAAGTACTACACTATGGAAAAAGTGTATTACTTATGTTTCACCCTATATTATAAAATTTGAGTAATCTATTTTTGTTATACTCAAAAAGAAAGACAAATTAAATTGAAGAAAGACAGAACTAACTTAAATCGAAAGTAATTTTACTTTTCAGTTTTTAGAATTATCTTTGAGATTTACCTAGGAATTTATCCGATATCTCCAAAAATCTAATGTTTGATCATCGAAAAACACGCATTGAAAACAAACTATTTTGACATTTCTATTAACAGGTCTAATTTAAAAAGTTAATTTGTATGTATTTTGCACGTTTTAATGAAATAAATACTATCAATTCTTTGTACTAAATAATCTTCAACTTAATTTTAAATTTAAAATAAAATATAAAACAATTGCCGTGTCATTTTCGTTTAGCTTCTAAAGGATGTTTAAAAAGAAAACATTCAGCATTTCATCATTTATATGGTAGATATAAGTTACATATACCATATTTTATTAGGTAAATATGTTTAGTAAACATATGCTAACTCACAATTCTCGAAAAAGATTAAATGAATTTTCCTTTGATTGACGAAAGCCGACAAAGAAGACACGAAAAACGACATTTTCGCTCGACTTTCAGCCAAACAAATATTAGGGCAGAGTTCCGAAATGCCTAGGGCAATCGTTGTAATAAACTTTGAATTGATTAGTTAACGCCTGAGAAGAAAACACCTACTGTTTTTAATTTAATTTTAATTTTACCACCTAGGTTTTTAATTTCATATTATTTCTCCACTTGAAATTGTTTTAAACAATATATTTCATTAATTCTGAAATTTATAAAGCAAGTTTGGGCCCGCGGACCGCATGCGGCCCAAGGCAAATTCTAATGCGGCACAATAAACGTGTAAACAAAACTGACAAATTTTTTTATTATTTATTTATTTCAACGGCATAAACCTAAAAAAAAAGAAGTTTCAGAAAGCCGTAAACCTTTATACATATTTTATTTTTTAATAGAAAGGAAATATTTTCAAATATTTGAAATGTGTGAATGAGGAAGGAATACTAAATAAAGCTGGAGTCGTGATTCAAAGGATTATAGTCCCAAATTCGGGTAAAGAAGAGAAAGGCAAAAATATAAAAAGAAGTGAGAAAGGTTGGAAAATTAAGGATCAATATTTGAATAACAGAAGGTCTTCTAACCTTTCTCACTTCGTTATTTTTTGAGCTTTCTCTCCTTTTCCCGAATTTGAAACTATAATCCTTTGAATACCAACTCTAGCTTTATTTAATATTCCTTCAGCGTTGCAAGATTTGGCTACTTTGCGCCAAATTTGGCTACCCTTTTTTTAGTTTGGCGTAAAAAATATCATTTGGCTATTATTTATAAATATATTAGTTGAATAAAAATGCACTTTAAAATAGAGTTTCGTTATTTTTTTTTAATTAAAGATCCAAATAAAATAAATATTTGTGTTTTCCAAATAAATTTTTGTTTGTCCTCTTTATAATAAATAAATTTATCTATCTCTAAGTAGAAATTAAAAGTGTCTGTAGAAGTAATTTTTTAAAATATCCTTTTTCGTGATAAAGTTTTAATACTTATTACTATAATCTACACATGTAAATCCTTAAGTATACAAGTATATTTAAGCATTGGGCCACAAGTACATTGTGGCCCAGAACTCTATGACTTCTTCCAATGTGGCCAGAGAAACAGAAAGATTGGACACCACTGTTATAAAGGGTTACAATTTCTGTATTCTATGGGAACTGTCACATTTCATATTCGTAATATCTATTTATACATATTTATAGCCGAGATGGCATATTGATCTTATAAATTAAATTTCCAAAGCGAAAGGAAGCACAAGTTTAGTCTGAAACCTCAAATCTTGTGATTTTTCAGAGAATTAAAATTTGTTGTTGTGAAAATTGCCATCGTGACTTTGCAATTCCAAGTATTTCTCAGCATTAAAATGGAACAAAGGGAAATTCAAAATAACTAAGAAAAAACAGCATTATCATTCAAACGTTCCTTCTCTCTTCGAAAATTAGTCATACCTTCAAAAATTATTATAACTTAGAAAAATAGTGAAAGAGGCTTTTGAAATATAGTTGGACAAACAAAATATTGTCAAAATAATTGCAAAATAACACTGCAGTAGACCACTATTTTATACGATTCCATTAACATCTTTAAAAATATCGAAAAAATTAACGATTGAAATTCAAGAGTATAAAACGAACAGCTGAGTTTTTAAGTTGTCTTCTGTGAACTTAAATTCTTTCAAGGTTTATGCCTGAAATCGGATCTTATCTATATCGATTATAACAGAAGACAACTTTATTCTTATTTATTTTTACTTCGTACTAGGAAATCTAGCTGACTCCTCTTTATATTAATTAATCTTCATATTCTTACATTTGAACAATGTTTTGACTCCAATTTTATTAGAGTTAAAACACAGTATTGGTTTAACAATACTGTGTTCTGTAGTTTATAGTTATAAATCGACTATGTTTTATATGAATTCTCTTCGTAAAATATGTTTAAAAATTTATACAGAATAACAAATAAACGTTGAAAATTACGTTAACATTTTTTTTCAATAGGGTAAATCAGAAGTAGATGATAAATAAAAGTTGAAAAAAATTTTATGAACTTTTAACTGAATTAGTGAATAGGAAGGAAGACAATAATACTTACTTGACTAATGAACAATTAAGCACTCTTTTACAGAGCCGGGNTTATTAAGCAGCCTATTTCTTTTAATTTCTGCAAACTTTTTTATGCGGTTTTAAGTTAATTTTAACTCGTTGTTTTGGTTTTATGCGATTTTAGAAAATTACGGAACGTATCCCTACTTTTTCAAGGCAAGTAAAGTCTTTTTTTATGCAAATTTTTTATATGCACTTTTCTGTAGAACGTATCCACCGCATAAAACGAGACCTTACAGTACATGTAAATTTAATTTTTAAAACGTATTTTACCATAAAATAAAGTGAAATGTTTTTATTAAAAAATTTTAGTTTTGGATCGCTTACATTTTTCGGAAAAAAGTATCCATCTTTAATTGCTTACATTTTTGTTTTCTTTCATTAAGAATTTCGAAATATGGTCAAATGGATGCGATAATGCTCCTTTTTACATTTGCACTTTTCTCCCAATCATTGTCTAACTCACAAAGTTCATCAATCAAACTTTCCATAGTTGAAAGGATACGCTTTAAATTGGCCGTTTTCATAACTCTTGGAGTTTCTTCTTTGTCATTCTTCTGTAGCTCTATGTCAGGTCCGCAGCTCATACAAATCTAACAGTTTATGGAACGTTCTCTATTGATCTAGATCTGACCAATCCCAGCAAGCCATGAATCTGCCATGACACGTGGTGTCGTAGTAGACTCGTGTCTCACTAAGATTGGTCAAATCTGGACATAATCTAGTCAAATCTAGCATAGGAAAAATTGGGGAATTACACAGCAAACCAGTGAATTGCACAGCGGTATTATTGTGAATCAGCGTAAATTAAACTGGCGTAAACCAAGGGCTACCTGTATTTGTAAGACTGTCAAGCGGGCATTCATTAAGTTTTGCCTGGATTTTTATTTTCGAAAGGTGAGAACATAATTGCAAAGGTCTCTAGTAGGCCATCAAACAAGATAAAACCCTGTAAGCAAATGTTATAATTTCAGCGTAAATACTAAATTAATTTAAAAATTAGCAATGAACTCTTCATCAAATAGCTTCAGTTTTCACATAAATATTTATCTTATTGTATAAAACACTAAATATTAAAAATTTTAATAATTTTTGCTAGTCATTTGCAAGTTCAATCATTTTTGCTGGTCTTTAAAGTAGTCTAATTCATTCCATAATTTCTTTCACTGTGAAAAAAATGTAGCTGTTCAACAATTACAACACACCAATTACAACAATTTCTTTTTCATTGCCGAGATAGTTTTATTTATTTAAAACTAACATTTTCAATGAAAAAGGTGTGTTATAACTGTCTAATTGTTTTCTGAGCACGTTCTGTTAAATATAGCTGTTCTTTCACTTAGAAAATAGGAAACTGCTACTTTGTAAAATTTTTGGAGTTAACAGAATCTATTGCAATTTATATTGCTTTAAATGTATCTTTCTTATATACAGTAACAGAGCTTGTATTTTACAAATTCATAAATCCAGCAATTGTAATCTACCAATAGCTCTAAATCTTCCCACAGCTGGTTATATATTAGTAAATAATATCAATGAAACCTTCAAAATTAAACCAGCAAATATATTTTAATGTAAATGTGCTATGACATGCACTTTCAATCCCATTTGGAGGGATCTGCTTCAGATCAAAACGTTCAATAAAAAATTAGAATGCTACTAAAATAATTTTAAATTTTAAAATCACTGGAATGATTATATATTCAAACAAGTATAAAGATCATGTCTATATGTTAATGATTAAATATTCAAACAATTATAAAAAATCAAATCTATTTTGTCTGAGAATGTGGTGTATGAGATGGACAAGTTTTAAGCAGCTATCAAACTTCACAATCCTGTGTAAAGCTACCCTACTGTCAGAATAAATGCAATAGTGTAAGTAGTGTCTTTTGTCCTTTCTACGCCTAATGTGAATTGAATGATCCGGACTCACAGCCTACTTTCAATAGCTTAATGAACAGTTCAATTAACGAACACTTTCTTGAAAGATTTTTATGTTCGGATAACAAACACAAGAAGCAGCGACATAAAATAATGAACACCGATTGGTCTTCCCTTGACTTCAGGCAACAATTCAAAACTTTTTGGAGTGCAGGAGATGTCAGCATCGATGTTCAACCCAGTATATACTGATCAGATAGTATTCCTCTGAACTTTCGAACTCTCACTCATAATTCCAGCCTTTTATTTTTCTGACAGAAACAATTCTTTTATAGTACAGGTAGCCCTCGGTTTACGCTGCAGTTCCGTTCCTACAAAAGCTGGTGCAAATCTAATTGGCGTAAAATGAACCCATATTTACAGTGAGGTATAGGGTTAGGTTCTACATAATTGAAAAATAAGCAAATAATTTTGTTTATTAATACAATATAATACAAAATACTGTAAGGTCTCTTTATGCGGATTATTTTTATGCGATTTTGAAGTTGTGCGGTTTGTATTTCATCCAAAAATTTCTTGGACAAACATACATATAGGCTTGTTTAAGAAGCCCGCATATAGACAGTCTCCAAAAATCATGGAACGCTCAAAGCTCACTCCATTTGTTCCACTGACATACAGTGGTACCTCAGGTTACGAACGCCCCAGCATACGAAATTTTCAGGATATGNCATTCTGAATATTGGTGAAAGAATTTTTGAAATTGGATGAGTAGTTTCAGAGATTACCCTCTACATCCAAACTTACAAACATTACCTTTTTATAATATTAGTATAGATTAGTATTATTAGAATATATTATTAGTATATCTTAAGTACAGACCTTCCGTTGGGATTCGGCTTGCTCCCTTGTTTATTACGTACATCACCTCAGTGCAGAGTATTTACATTCATTCAAGTGTTGTGCAAATCATGACTTCTAAAAATCAGAAAGGTGATTTCAATTGAAACAATGCAAGAAATCATTAGGAGTGAAAGCTGACAAAAACTTTGTTGTCAAATGGGGAAAGGTTCAGGAGTTTACCTACACTCATTATCCAAACACAGCTGAGGACAACAGGATCAATAACACCCTTGCCCGTCTTTTCCGACAGGTGATGAAGAGAGAGAAACAGACCACCTTGGACATGTTTTTCAAGAAGCCAGCTGCCAAATAACAAAGGATGGAACAAGAGGAGTTGACCCTGCAAGCTCCAGTAGCCTCTCCTGAATCTGACTCTGATTAAAAAACAATAAAAAGAGACCTGCTGCAATGTGTAAAAAGTCTGTATCTGTATGAATATGTGAAGAAAGTGTTCCTCCACCTCCTCCTCACAACATCTGACACAACATCCCAGCATAATTGGTGACTGCTCCATTTTCATTTTTTTTATGGTACAGTATGGTTATTTTATGCTGCAGAACGAATTATATGTTTTAACATGTATTTCTATGGGAAAATGCATTTCATATAACAAACTTTTCACTTAACGGGCTTGCACCAGGAATGGATTAAGTACGTTATACGAGGCACCACTGTACTTCTGAAAAATTCTGAAGAGAGAAATAGACATTAGACAGATTCTTTAAACCCCACAAACAGAAAAAATATGACTAATAAAAATGCAAGACTGTGTATATATGTATTTTTATTATTACACATAAATAAACATAGTAAGATAGTATATATTTTTTATTTTTGAGATCTCCAGAACAAATTAATCAAATTTCCATAAAAACCTATGGTAAATCAATAATTGGTTAATGAACAATTTGGACAGCAAACAGTCTTGGAACAGATTATGTACATTAACCGATCACCCACTGTATTTATTAATTTCAATTACGGTATAATTGTAATTGTTATACATGTACAGTGTGCAACGTGTGCCTGCATTTGATATAATTTACTACACGGTAAGTTTGCCATGGTTGTAGATTATAGTTAAAATGATAATATTGATATTGTGACTGCATAAAAAAATATATATTGTTTACATTCAGTACATGTGGTAAATCCTACCAACATTCCTTTCATAGCTTTTTTTTGTCAACCAAAAAATAATAGACAGTGAAGCTTATATAAATCAGAATTGTATGGTACAAAATATTTTTCTGGTTTGACAGGTTTCTGTTTTGAATGGGTTATTTTTTTAACACAGAAAATGACTCCATTCCAAAGAATTTTTCCATTTACTCATAGATCGGTCTTCTTTTTATTCGGGTTCCATTTTGAGCTGCTTTTTATCATATACTGTGTAATTTAGATAAATATTTTAATTTTAATACAACCAGAAGAAAGAAATACTTATAAAACCCAGAATCAGATAATTACTGTACAAATATGGGATTCCCACAACAAAATTCAGAATTCTCATTACAGTTGCATATTAAAATATGCACTGGCCTCAATAGTATGTGATAAGTCCTACTGAGAGCCAAAACTTTAGCATAGCTTAATTGTTTGTATATTATTATTTTAGAGATGAATTGATGTTCATATTATTTTGAGTTTTGAAACAACTTAAATGTGATTTAATAAATATCAACAAACCAAACTTTAATTTAATAAGTTAANCTAGATAATATATATATATATATATATATATATATGAATGTCTCAAAATTCAGAAAGAATAATAATAAAATTTATCTGCATTTCAAAGAAATAGATTTAATTTTGAATAAGCAACTTATACAGAGATTTTATGTACAGCTTAAATAATTAAAAAAGTTATTAAATTTAAATTTGGTTTGTTTCTTCATTTAATACAAAATATTAATACTAACCTGCCTTCCCCAGGTTTTATATTTGAACATAACGAATTTACAACCAATTGACAAGCTTCTTGTAAAGCAGGATCTACTCTCCAATCTTCTCCTATATCAACTTCTTTTAACAGATTTTCTAACTAAATAATAAAAATTTATAGAATAAACAATTTTCAACAATAAATGTTAAAAATTTACTTAATGGTTATTGACCAATAAATTGTCCCATAAATCTTGTATTAAAAAAGAATAACCATGTTCAAGCTAACAAATGGTTATTTATTGGAATTAATAAGGAAAAAATTAAGAATTTCTACCGGTGCCAATTCTAAATGATATGTCAAGATTAATATAATACAACTTGATCTTCACACCAAATATTAAATAGCAGGAAAGAAAATTCACTGAGTACAACATTATTAACCCTTCGCCACCACCATCTTATTTACGTTAATTCTGTAAACTGTCCGAAGGCAATATAGGTCAGTCAGGCAATATTATTTTAAAAATTCACCAAAAATCAAATTATCATTATATTCATATGAAAAAAATTACATACATTTATTAATATCTTTAGTTTTAAATATGATATTTTTCAATACATTTTATTAGAAAAATTTATTTAAAAAAAAAATCGCCAATAAAAAAAAAACGTCACAACTGAAGGTCATAACTTCAGTATTTATAACATGTTGACTTATTATAGCTAAATGAACTTATTGTAGTAATATTTCATGAACATGCTAAAAATGAAGTAAAAAATTATCAGAAAAAAATAAATTAAGAAAAAAAAGCATTAATTAAAACTTTTTAAGGCAACAAAACACCACCTGGAGAAAGATATGTAAAACAGACAATAGACAAGACGGTGCCGTCAAGTGCTGACATCTGTTGTCGATAAATTTTATAAAAATTGATTTTTACTAGGGTAATGATGAATCGGTACCATCGAAGTTTTGCTTAACAATGGGGGTAACAATCAATCGGTACTTTTGGTGGCAAAGTTTTAATATTTTTTTATTGCTAGCAAACGTTCTAACATAGCTTTGTTGAAAGTGCTAGCAATAAAAAACTATTAATAATGCCGTACTCAGTAAATTTTCCTTCCTGCTATTTCAAGATTATTCTTAAAATACACAATACTTTTCTGAGGAAACAACAAAGCATCTAATAAACAACAATAATGAAATCCTAATTTCTGTTAAAAAAGAAATATGCACTATTCAAGTTAAAAAGGTCTGAAGTTCTACATAATAATTACGCTTCAAAGCTTTATACAAAAATCAAAAATTTTCAGTTACCTGTGAAAAGTTATCAATTCAAGAAATAACAAAACCATTTTTATCCAAAAGGACAACCCATCAAATTTCATTTAAGTATGGTCTTGTATGTAATCCTGGAAAAGGACAAGATTTACATCATAAAAGAAAAAGACTTTTCTTGATGCCTTGTTACAGTCATCACTAGTGCAATCAACAATGTGTTGCAACATATGTGGCAGAGATCATCTGTCATCTTGATGCAATCTGTGCAACCTCCAGGGTGCATACAAAGATGCAGTTATTTATTTAAATGAAACTTGGTGAGTTCTTTCAAACAAAACTTGTTCTGTTATATATTAAATTGATAACTTTTCACAGGCAACTGAAATTGGGTAATGTTTTCAAATAATTAGTTTGAAAGAAAACAATAGAAGTTTCTTTTTGCAGCACTAAAATTATCACCACTATTCATATTTGTCCACAAAGTAAATTTTTTTTATAAAAAAAATTTGAAAATGAAAAGGTCTACTACTAGATATTATTAATATAACAGATAGCTTTTAACTGACCATTAAGTGGCTATACTGAAAATTCTAAACAAGTTCATGTAATGTCTTAATAAGAACTGAAATGCAAATTTTATTTTCTTATTGGATCTTTCAATAAAATTTAACAATTCTTATAGACTTGCACTAAAAATAGATAAATTTAATATAATAAGAATATTTAAAAAAACTTCTATCAGAACTGAAACTAATTTAAATTGAACAACAACTTCAGTACTTTTTCCAGCAATACTATGTTTTATTCAAACAAACATTTTCAACTGTTCTCAGAGGCCTGCATCAGGTTTAACATATAAACTAGAAGATTCAAACTAAAAGTTCTAATTGACATTCTTACAGCATTTTAAAACAATTTGAAATTTAATTTCAAATGCAAACAACTACATATTTTAGTTAAATATTAAACATAATATGTATGTATAAAATATTACAAAATTCTAAAATAAATATGTAAAATGAATCCAATATAACAAAATAAACTACAGTAAAACCAGCAATTACTGGTGAATAACTCAATAGGGCGATCGGATGGCATATACTCTACGTAACAGACATCTAGTATATATGACTTTTAACAAGTAACAAATTGTCTCAAGCTGACAATCCTTCTTTATGCTTTATTTTATATTTATACCTTTTTCGTCCTTTTTTGTTTTATTCTTATTATATACATAGTTATACTGCAGTTTATGTTGTTATATTGGATTCATTTTACAATGTATTTATTTTAGAATTTTGTAATATTTTATACATACATATTATGTTTAATATCCAACTAAAAATTTGAACATATATTTCAATTTTTTTTAAAATACTGTAAGAATGTCAATTAAAACTTTCAGTTTGAATCTTCTAGTTTATATGTTAAACCTGATGCAGACCTGTGAGAACAGTTGAAAACGTTTGTTTGAATAAAACATAGTATTGTAGGAAAAAGTACTTAAGTTGTTGTTCAATATTTAGAATAATATAATTTATCTATATAAGATGTTTCCTCAACTTTAAGAAATTTCTTTTACCCATATTTACTTGTTTGAAAGCAAGATATGGCTTACAATTGACAGCACCTTGCATTTGCAGTTCAAAACAACAATCAGCAGACATCATGAGTAGACCATGTGATGCACTATGTATTAATAATAGAAGTTTTTGGCTATATTACTCAAAGATCATATAAGTTCAATTGAGCTCTTCTAATAATAAGCTTTTATTTTACACTCCACTTTAACATTTAAAATGCATTTTAGACAACATTTTGAAGCAACATTATAATAGAAGTTATTGTACGTGCAGAAAAGCACAAAAATGGAGCCATCAAACATCATTCATTTTGTGACATTAGTATTGCTTTATAACTTGCTGTTACTTAACAAACTTAATTTAATTAATTAACAAATTTAGTTCCCAAGGCCTAATTAATTAATTTCCACTAAAAAAATTATGTCATTTTTTTATTTTTTATATTAAATAATTATTTCCACTTAAAAGTGAATCTGACAACCAAAAAAATCACCGGGAAATAATTGCCACAAAATAAATACCGCCAAAAAGTGTTTTTACAGAAAAACTATGATTTAAAAAGAATGCTTTTATTTTAAAAATATAGTTGCACCAATTGTTATTCTTTCATTTAACAAGGAGAAACTTCTTAACATATAGGCGTTAAATTACAAATGAATGTCGCTAGATCAACAAGCTCTTTTGACGATAATTATTTTCGTCTTCGTCAGATCGTTAAAAACGGTTAAAGTCCTTTTTTGAATATGAATATCAAATTATTCCAACAATATTAATGTTTTGGAACGAAAGCAACGGTAGAATGTAAGAAAGAAAGATTTAAATAAAAACACATGCGGTTATAATGCACATGTGCTATAAGCCTCCAAACTGTGGAGCTAAATACGTTGTCTTAGGCAGTTACACAAGTTAACCCACATTTATTTATTTATTTAGCATATGGCTACACATCTAATTGTTAACAAGAACAGAAAGCAGAAAAAGTAAGAACACAAATCATAAATGTAAATCTAAGTTAGAAATATAGTTTAAAGCACTTTCAGTCATAATCAGGAAGTCACTCAGTTGTCCCGGAAAAGATCTTACTGGACAATCTTCCAAGATATGATGTATAGTCTGTCTTTCAGCACCACAGTCACACTGTGGGGATGCAACTTTTCCCCACCTAAAAAGACTGTCCCTGCACAACCCATGTTTGGTCCGAATCCTATTTAACACACTCCAAAGATTTCTGGATAACTCAAATCCAGGTGGTCGCTTTGTGATACAAGGAAGTTGTCGACTGTCCACCGGAGAGACATCAGCCCAGAGCCTTTTCCAAGATTCAGTGAGGTTGAAATTATTGGAATGCAGGGATTTAGCTCTTATAAGAGGAGGGTGTCTTGATTTAAGTCGATTTATGTTGAGGTCATCAATATCCTGATGGATCGGAAGTTGTGGATTAGACAATATTTTCCTATATTCCCTGAGCAAAGTGCTGTCCCTTCGGAGTGCAGATGGAGGGATATGGCTCAAAATAGGTAACCAGTGAATAGGAGTTGATTTAATAGTACCTGTTATGATACGTAGAGTAGCATTTAGTTGGGCATCCAGTTTTTTAATGTGAGCACTGTTCATCCATACCGGTGCACAGTATTCTGCTGCAGAGAAAACCAAGCCAAGAGCAGAGATCCGTAAGGTGGACGGCGAAGAACCCCATGTAGTTCCACATAGTCTTTGGAGGATGTTGTTTCTGGTATTAACCTTGGCAGCTAAATTCATCAGATGTGTTTTAAAAGATAAAGTTCTATCCAAAGTGACGCCAAGATATTTCGGGTTCATATTATGTTTCAATAAATTGTTGTCAAAGTAAACCTTTAATTCTTCATTTGCCAGCTTATTATTAAGATGAAAGCATGAAGCTTCAGTTTTTGTTTTACTCAATTGAAGTCTCCACTGGCGAAAATATTGTCCTAAGGTTGATAAGTCCTCTGTCAGGATCTTTTCAGTAATTGCAAGGTCTTTATGTCTCGTGGCAATCACCCAATCGTCTGCATATCCAAATTTCCTTGCCTTTGTTTGAGGCAAGTCAGCTATGTAAAGACTAAAAAGCAGTGGTGCCAGGACAGAGCCTTGAGGTAGGCCATTATTTAGTTTTCGTATGCTACTTCTCGAATTTCCCATGACAACTTGAAAGGGTCGGTTATTTAACATCTCATCAATTATTTTAACTATTTTTAAGCAGGGTATCACTCGAAGCAGCTTATAAATTAGGCCATGCCGCCAGACAGTATCATATGCTGCAGTGAGATCGATGTATACTGCAGATGTTTTTAATTGCCTTTGGTATCCAGCCTCCAAGAAAGTAGTGAAGGCTAGTACCTGGTCTGTACAGCTCCTATTCGGTCGAAAACCAGCCTGCTCTACCGAAATATTCTCAAAAATTGTATTGCTCAATCTGTTGTAAAGAAGTCTCTCTAATAGCTTATACATCACACTCAAGAGTGAGATAGGTCGATAGCTCTCTGGTTTATTGTTAGGTTTTCCAGGTTTCAGGATAGCTATGAAATTCCTTTCGCTATGAACTGTTCGTGTAGCGTTATCAGCTACACGAACAGTTTTAAATCAGTTCCCGCATAGCCAACACTGCCCAATAATTATCGGAATTGGACTTAGTTAACCCACAAAGGGGACAAATCAAGTGTGGGGGTGTTGCATGGATTTAGTATGTTGGTAAGGAGGGCCTCCCAAATATACACAAGGCTTCTGTTATTACAATGTCTTAGAATGACCAACTGGCCCCACAACGGAGTGTGTGGGTGTTGCAACACCATTCTAGCGAGCTCAGTTTCGCTCTTGCCTGCCCTGATAGAACACTGATGTTCCAAAATACGATAAGACAACATTCTGGTTGTCGTGCCAATACAGTGGGTGCGACCACCCTACATATTTTCCAGTGGGATAGAATAAACCCCAGATCTTTCTAGTGTGGAAGTAGGATCTCTGTCGTTGAATAGCAACCTCCTAAGACTTGGCCATGGAGAAACTGGCAGAAAAAGCACATGTCGCCTAAAAATACAGCAAATACGAACAGTGACATGACCACAAAATGGTAGCACGGGAAGGACTATTGTGGATTCTTTTGGGAGATGTAGTATAGTAGCGGGAAAAAGCAATCTTTTTACCTTATTTAAGATGTACATAAACTTGGCATTAGTATAGCCTGCCTCATTTACTGCAGAGCGAATAGAATTAAGCTCAGTATCGATAGCAGCTTGGCTGAAAGATAACAGAAAGGCCCTTCTGATTAAAGGGGCAATTGCCGCATTGATGTAATGTTGCGGCTGGTATACTGTAGCAGGGATTAGGGGAAGAACACCGTTGAATTTGTGGAATACAAAATACAATATAGTATCCCGGGATTTAGTAATTTTTAGATCCAAAAATGCGATTTCTCTTTCATTGTCTTTTTCCCAGGTAAAATTAATTGTGGGATAAATGGTCACGAGAAAATCTTCGAGAGCAAGGAAATCTCCATGGGTATCCTGCCAAGCTACTAGAATATCATGAACGTATCTAAGGTATAACAGCAGATACACTATCATGAGGAGAAAGCTAAAAACCTTGAATTCAATATTCCTCATGATCAATTCCGCCAAAACCACTGAAAGTGGTGAGCCCATCGGGACTCCTTGCTGCTGTAGATATACTTTGCCCTTGAACTGGCAATAATTATTTTTAGTAATAAAAAGTAGAGCTTCACATAACTCTAAAACTTCTTGAGCTGTAAAGCCCTTCTTGATTAGTAGCGCATGAACAAGCATAACAATAGGCATTATGCATTTCTGTGAGGATGAACTAAAGCAGATCATCTATCTATCTATCTATATAAATAAAAATGTAATGTTCATTTGTTCCAACCAATTCCTTTGAAATTTTGACACAATGCTGCATTCAAATACGCACGTGTTTTTATATAATATACATGTCGAAATTCCCCCACTGGAGGGAGATGGACAGGATAAAGCTTACAATAAAGAACTCTGCTTCTATTTATACTATTTTAGATGCAGGTTTTTGCGTTTTTGATTGCGTTTTAATAGGGTACATCGAGAGAATGTACACTAAAAAGAAATTTTTCGAAAAATTTCCCTCCCCACGGGGGAAGTGTTATAAATTTATAATAGATACATTTTGAGCCACATCAACGCATAATGGGGTCTGCTAGTTCTAAGATATTGTAATAACAGAAGCCTCGTGTATATTTGGGAGGCCCTCCTTACCAACATACTAAATCCATGCAACACCCCCACACTTGATTTGTCCCCTTTGTGAATTAACTTTTATAACTGCCTAAGGCAACATATTTAGCTCCACAGTTTGGAGGCTTATAGCACATGCGCATTATAACCGCATGTGTTTTTATTTAAATCTTTCTTACATTCTACCATTGCTTTCGTTCCAAAACATTAATACCATTGGAATAATTTTATATTCATATTCAAAAAAGGACTTTAACCGTTTTTAACGATCTGACGAAGACAAAAATAATTATCGTCAAAAGAGCTTGTTGATCTAGCGACATTCATTTGTAATTTAACGCCTATATGTTAAGAAGTTTCTCCTAGTAAACGATTGGCATGCTGTCCATTTCTGAATTATAGTTCATTTAACAAAGCGTGAAATTTCACAGGTGCAGTCTACGTAGTTTACAAACCACTTGACCTTGAGAACAGCTGGTGTCGGCTTTCCCAGGTTGTTCTCAGGTATGCCTCAGGGTAATATTGGTTTAAAGCAGGAAAGCTAACCTACCACATCTATTCAAATATAACATAATTTTCGATTTTTATGCTATTAAAATACAGGGTACCGAAAAAAAAATATGGAAAAAAATTCTACCGAATAAAAAATAAAAAAAAACCTGCTGATGTCATAAAAAACAGTGTTAGTAATTATCCAATAGTGTTGTAAAAAATTTTACCAAAGTCAAATCAGTCAAACAGAAGTTTAGAATGATTTAATTAATTTGATATAAAAAATCCCATTAAAAAAATAGCACAATTAATTATCTAATTAATAAATCGTCATAAAAAATTTTTGCAGCAAAAATAATTTATGCAATTTGCATAGATGATAAATAGCGATGTATATGCTGATCCATACATTTTTGGAAAAGTTATATATCTAGACCGTTTTTTGAGGCCCCTTATGGCCATGCCCAAATTAACTTAGGCTAGGAACTTAAGGGGTAAATTAATAAAATTGATTATTTAAAAATATTTCCCTTTATGAAAAAATCTTAGAATTTTATTTCAAGTTTGCAGTGCATGTCAAAATGAAGGTAACAGAAAAATTGCAGTTTAAAAACAGAAATAGATCTCCAAAATAATAAATATATAAAATAAATTACAAAAATAATATGAACACTATTACTGACCTCTCTTCTACATACAGCAGTTAATCTACCATTGTCGTGACGAGAAGGTTTGGCACGCTCCATTAAACAGTGAAGCGTTTTACCTCCGAGTTCTAAATGTTTAGTTTCGCAGAACTGCTTAACGTCGTTTTCACATGCTGCTGCCAATTCTGGCGTTAATTGATAATTTTCCATTAAAGTTCTTCTATGCATTGTCATCTCAGAATGGCATTCTCCATTTACTGGATAACCTGTAATTTAAATGATGCATACATACATATATATTGTTATTTATCATCATCATCATTATTTATTATTGTGTATTCCCATCTGAAAGTATAACAGAATATATCTAATAACATAATTAATATGTTGATGCTAAGTGGTAAGGATAATTCTGGCTCCAGAGAAGTCCACCATAATATCCAGGTCTGTCAAATAAGTGGAGAGAGCTGTGGTACTCCTACTGTACTGTACATCAGATTTATGTTCTCGTTATCTGACCCCTATTGAACATTTAGTGAAGCCAATGTACACCATTTCCCTCGGGAATGGCTGAAAGGTAACAATCTGGTGCTCACAAGGGCCAACAAGTCCAAGGACTTAGTTGTCATGAAAAGAAGCACTTACGACGATTTTTTGTTAAAGTACATCAGTGATACGAATTGTATTAAAGTGCATGCACGCACTCTAGAAAGACAGCAGGCAAGAGTTAAAAGATTTGCAAACACACCATTGGCTAAAGAGCTTGGTTTGATGAAGATAATAGTTCACTCACCGTCAGCACCTAGGCTATTTGAATTCGCCAAAATCCATAAAAAGGATAAAAGCTTAAGGCCTGTCGTTGATAAAGGATGCGCCCCCACAATTTTATTGGAAAGATTGCTCAATGAGTTAATTCACAAGTACTCGCCCCCACATCGATACAGCGTAAAACAACCTTTAGAGCTTATACAGAAAATGGCAAATATAAAGTCCCAAGAAGTTAAGTATATGACCGTATTGGATTTCAAGGCGTTGTACCCTTCCATCCTGTTAGAACCATGTTTTTGCCATTTACGGGATTTCCTTTTAAGCAAGATCAAGTATTCAGAAAAGAAGAGAAAGCATATTTTAGAGATGATGCATCTAGCAACTTTTTCTTCTATTTTCAACTTTAAAGGCATCACATATACGCAACAGAAAGGCGTCGCTATGGGAAGCCCAATGGCGGGTACATTATGTGAGATGGTGTTAAGAACGCTAGAGAATGCCATTGTGCCGATTTACGAAACGCAAATCCTACTGTACGCAAGGTACGTCGATGACGTGGTTATTTTATGGAGTGTCAAACCCAACTTACAGCAATTCATAAAGAACGTTAATGACAACAAGTTCGGCCTTGAAATTGAACTAGAGCAAGAAAGTAATACATGCATACACTTTCTGGATTTATATATACAACTTGACAGCAAAGGGAATTTTCTCACTAAAGTCTATAGAAAGCCTACGTACAACCCGATATTTATCCTATGGAATTCACACGACCCCTACAAATAACTAACCCACACCAAAAGGAAAAAAGATGTCTCAAAAAGTTGTTTGCCAATTGCACTCACTCAGAAACTTTACCTCGTCTTTCTTCAGTCTTGTTGGGTCTCTTATATTCCTTAGTGTGATATAACAAACAGCCTTGCCACTCCAACTCATTTACATATTTATTCTAACAACTGATATTTATTTTTTCTTCGCAATCTTTCAAACATTTGCCTTTACCAATCTTCTCAAAAAATTTACTTATAATTTTTCAAAATCAGTCACAATTGGGATTAAGAGACCATTCTTTAATTCCTATTCAGAAATCACTCAATCCAAGATGCCTTAGTAGATTGGTAACATAGGAGATACAGGTATCAGTCATAATAAGACTATTATTTTTCAAATTTAATTTTTTTTTTTTTTGTTAGATGTGGAGTTTTATCCTTTAATAAAATAAAATGCCCCAAAAATAAATAAATAAATAATGAGAATTAAATAAAAACCCCAAAAATAAAAGTAAAATTCAGACTCAACTCCTAACAGTACTTGTAAAAATGAAATTAAGTACAGTGATACCTTGGTTTTCATCATTAATCCGTCCAAAAACTGAGGCAATTATTTCCATATGAATCAATGTAGATCCAATTAATTCATTCTAGACACTCCAAAATACATACCAAAAACACATTTCATAGAGAATAAATAGTGTTTAATACTAAAAGCAATAAGGAATTAATATAAAATTAATATAAAAGACTAATGTAAAGAATAACTGAATATTTAACATGGCATTTCCCATGATGGACCTAAAAAGAAAGGAAAGCAATGGAATTCGGCATATTCAAAATCTCAGCATCAATCCAATAAATGCTGCCAGAAGTGATGCAACTGCTGGCATTTTATAGAGAACACAAACACTGATTGACAGGAATTTTGGAAGAGAAGAACAATAAAAATGGCAAATGATATGGACTTTCACATTATATAAAATTTATTTTTGAACTAATTTATTGAGAATAGCTTAATAAAAAATAAATATTTCAAAAAAAAAAAATAGGGATAAAGATTTTTTAAATTTCCATAGAAGTTTCAAATATTTAAATCAATCCTAAGATGCCACCAACCGGAAGTACATATGAACCTCCAGAACACCAGATTAATTAGGCGGGCCTTTCAAACAGACCATATTTGTTACCTGGAAGCTTTGGAAATTTATAAAGCCAACTTGAAAGGCAAATGTATTAACTTTAAAGACTGCAAGACAGTGGCGCATGCGTGGAAGTACCTGTATGAAAAATTCAAATGAAGTCAAGCAGCCGCATGAATTTGATATATTCAAAGTTTAAAGTCGAACGACATTGTTCTAATGTTCCAGTTTGGGAAGTCAGTTTAGTTCATTACCTGAAACAGGACTTGGTGAAGGCTGAAAACATTCGGAAGTTATATTATAGTTCAATTACTGGTTTAAAAAAATTTTGTTTGTGACTGATTGTTTATTTACTCACTCCAGTAGTTTTGAGAATACTTTATAATATTATTGTATTATATAGAAGAAACAAAACAAAAATACTTGAAAAAAAAATGAAAAGAGCACCAAGCAGCCATCAGATCAGGTATTATGACATTACCATGGTATTTACATCATAATGAAGAAAATTGTAACATTAATAAACGTTTATTGTTTCTATAATAATAAGTTACATATATTTTTTGGCATGGCTGGCAGAAACTTATTTTTCAACCTATAATAGGTTTCATCTGAAAATTTTTTATCCATAATCACAACTCATACAAAAAGGAACTTTTTAGCATTACATTCCAATAGGCAGGGCATTAAATAAAACTGTCCACATTGTATATTATATGAGAAGTATGACAACTGCTATATGATCCAAGAAACCTATGTAAAAATAAAAATAAACAAGCAACTAAAACAAAATATATTAAGTTCCTGTATATTAAAGGCCTATATGAACAAATTAGCACAGAAATAGAAAGAATAAACTACAAATTAGTACCATCATATCAAAAAATGGAGAACAGACTGTTAACCTCGAACTGGATGAAAAACCAGCAAATAGCGACTGAAGCCCAAGGTGTAGTATATAAAATTCCATGTACCTGCACAAACAAAAAACATTACATAGGAGAAACAAAAAGAAAAGTAAAAACTAGATTGAAAGAACACATAGTGGACCTAAAATATAATAGAATAAATTCTGCATTTTACGAACATTGTACTCTAAACAACTGTAATATAGACAAAGCTAACGTAGAAATACTGCATTAAAAAAAATTAACATACAACAGGAAGTTTAAAGAAACCATAGAAATTATAAAAAGTACACACAATATAAATAAAAACCTAAGTCTTAAAATAAATGAAAACTGGTTCAATATACTATAAATAAATAAAAAATTTTTCTGTGAAAAGCAATCTTTTCAAAAAATAACTTCTGCAAGATGGATTTGGTAAAAATCAGACCACAAGGTGGCGAACGTCATACGTGGCAACACTAAAAATACCAGCACAAACAACAAAAAAGGAAGGGAAAAAAAGAGGCGGAAACAACTCAAATTTTTAATCATTGTATTGTGTCAAAGTCTATCCAAAAGGGAAGGTTTATGGAAGTTTTTAAATTGTAATGTATACTGGTTTATCCATAAAAGGATTAAAGCAGATTTTACAAGATTTTAAATTACACAAAGTGTAACCAAATGTACAGTACGTCTATATATCATTTGTGTACTCATTGTTTTTTTATGTACGTTCTCTACTGTAACAGATAAAAAATATATATTGTATTATAGTTGACTGAAGAGGGGCAAAGCCTGAAACAAGTACAAAACAATGTGCCGTATTGACTCAACTAATAAAGATATTTGATGAGAAACATGCCATGTGTCTTTGGAATACAACACAATACTAGTGTTTACTATGCCAGAATTATAAAACAGGACACGGTTTCAAAAAATAAATGCTATGTTTAAATTTATTAAATATAAAACATTTTGAATAAATGTTTGTTAAGCTTAAAAAATTCAAATGTGAAGGAACACTTAAATTACCAATTAGTGTTTCAGATTAGGCAAACTTTTCACAAGGCAAACTAGGCCTGTCTGACAGTTAATACTCATACTGCAAAACAAAAAAGCTTTAAAATGCAGCCTTTTTATTCGCTTTTCCAAACGTTTTAAGCCATTTACCCATTTTATTTGCTTTTCCAAACGTTTTCAGCCATTTACCCATTTTATTTGCTTCTCCAAACGTTTTCAGCCATTTTGAATGGCCTAATAAAAATAAAAAAGCAAATAAAGGCTGAATTTTAAAGGTTTCTTGTTTTGAGGTACGAGTTTTATTTCAGTGCAGTTACAGAAGAGTGACAGTTAATAATTACCAATCAGACACCCTGATGCAGTTGACATGCCAGAAATAATAAAAAATATGGAAAAATATGTAACAAAAAATTAGCAAAATTCATTTCAAAAATTAATGGAGAAGTCAAATATCAAAATTTGACTTTTCTACATATTGGCAAAAAAAGCATGTAATATATAAATCTGGCCCTAACAATAACATTTGTTCTCTATATACTCTCATACAGAAAGCATATAGCCTTTTATGTATTTTAGACATGCAAAATTAATTACATTCTAATTTGTCAAAATAATTACCATTGTTATAAAAAACATACATATAAAAATTAACACAAACCTTTTTTTACAGCATTTTCTAAACAAAGTAGAATTTGTGCTAGTCGAATATCTCTCTTTTCCGACGTCTGCTCACGACATCGATACATCTTGATGTCATTTCGACATGCTTTGGCAAGTCCCCTGTTCACTTTATAATTATGTACTGTTAATTTTTCTCGTTGAAAAAGTTTCTTCTTGCACTAAAAGACAATAATTAAAAGTACATACTTCAATTTATTTTTAAATAGTTATTTTATTCATATTTATTAATTATATTAATAATAAACATTGTTTCTTATTAACACAAAAATTAATGCTTTTTAAATTTACACTATTTGAATACTGGAACTTGTAACTAACCCTTTCAGAACTTTTTTATTTCCAGTAAGGTTAATGCTTTTTATTAACTCAAAGCAATATAGTGGGTGATCGGTTAACAAACAAATTGGATAACGAACACTTTTGCGAAAGATTTTTATGTTCAGACAACGAACACCTCACAGAACAAACACAAGAAGAGACAACATAATATAATGAATACCGATTTGTCTTCATTATTTTACGTCTCTTCTTCTTGTGTTTGTTCTGTGTGTCCCTTGTCTTCAGGCAACAATTCAGAACTTTTCGGTGCACGAGAGATGTCGACATCAATGCTCAACTCCGGAGGAATACTGATTGAATAGTATTCCTCCAAACTTTGAAACACTCCCTTGTAACTCCAGCCTTTTATTTTTATGACAGAAACAATTATTTTATACTATTCGTGAGACTGTCAGACAGGCACTCGTTAAGTTTTGCATCAGTTTTATTTTTTAAAGGTGAGAGTATAATAGCAAATGTAGAGTGGTCAGAAGATGTCTGATGTTGCTGGGCAGTATGGCTCAAACAGGCCACAGTTCAATCTTATCTAAGAAAGATACCATATAATCGAGAAGACTCAAGCAACTAAAGGAGTAACAAAAAATCACATCTGAAAAATAAAAAACATTGAAGAGCTCACAATAGAACCTGAAATGGATCTAACAGAAGAATGCCAAGAACTCTTGAATGAATAACACCAAGAAACTTGGCGAGATGTTTTCTTCTGAACAAGAGGATTAATGCCAATATCTGCTGTTAATTAAACATCTTTTGAAAAAGTGGGAGGATGTCAGAACAACGGTCTTAGAATGGCATCCAAACCGGGTTGAAGTTAATAGACTTGGAGATCTCTACAATTACAGTGCTATTAATTACTTCTGAAAAACAAGAGAGAGAAACCACCACACAGCCTTTCTCCCATGACAAAAAATGTGTAAAGCGTGAATCTGCTAGCGTTATTACTCTATCACGTCACACCAGACAACGCTTTGGTTTGGCTTCAATTTGGTGGTTTCTATTAAGAAACCACCAAATCGAAGCCAAACCAATCAACGAGATCAAAAATAAGAATATTACGTAAGACGAGATCTATTATCCCCTACTCGAGTAAGAAATCGTAAGAAATCCTTGACCCCCACCCACCCCAAAATACCTTACGTAAGTTATGGATGGCCCCTAGCCAAAAAACACAAACATAACCATAATAAATTCTAACAAACATTTAATGAAAATTGACCATCATTTTCAATTTCATTAATAAACTTGCTTTGGGTCACAAATCTTAAACCTACCAAATTTGATTGTAAGGATGTATAGGCATTCCATAAATTAATGTTACACAGTCCAAAATTTAAAAAATTTTGAACTGTGTAACATTATTCATTTATTTGTAACATTACATATTATTCATTTATTTGTAAAATTAATGTTACAAATAAAATTGAAGTTTCACATCAAGATATGTTACAAAAAATTTTAGCAGGTTACAGAAATACAATTTTAGCATGTTACAGAAGCATCTTTTGGTTGTTGAAGCAGCTTTGCCATGCCACTGATAATTTGACAATCTTTAAAATTAAGGTATTCTCCCCTGTTGGTTGCTTTAAATATTTATGAAACAAAATTCTAACAATTAAACATCAAATTCAGCAGATTTATGATCCAAAGCAGGCCAATTAACATGGCTAAAAATGTTTGTCAATTTTCATTAAATATTTGCTGGAATTTATTATGATTGTTTTCTAGATATATTTTCCAGTATTTGAATAAGTTTTACAAACAGAAATTTTGGTTATGTTTCTACTCATTCATGAATTCAAAATCACTGCATTTTAAAAGGAGATCAATGATTACAAAAATAGCTTTCAACATATCAGTAACTTCAGTGAAAATTCAATTTAACTTTACACAATTTTTTTAGTAAAAGGAGTCTTATAATATGACACTTTGTTGGCAAACAATGTTGCCAGTTTAATAAAACAGTTTCTATACTTTTAAAAATAATGTCCAAAGAGACAACAAAGAGAAATATCTAATTTGTTGGTTAGTTTCTTTATCAGACATACAAAATTTTCTTGAAGTTTTGTTTCTATTCATCTCATTTTGTGGTAGTCATCCTCAATTGATGCAGTTGATCAGTGACCAGCATGGTTAATTTTCTAAATTTTAATTGGTCCTGAAGGAAAGATTGGATGAAGGTCCACCTAATAATTGGCAATACATCTGCATGGTAAGCAAGTTTGAGTTCCACATCAGATTAATTTCTTCTTCCAGAATATTTTACGTTAACTAACTTCTAATTATTAAATTTCATATAAAATGGTGGCCCAACCATTACTTTTAGTCCAAATTATGTAATATCTTTTAATTAATTTGCCATATTATAGCTTGATTAAACTCCAGCCATATCATTTAATCAATAAGACAAACATTTTGAATTAGAATTTTGAATGTAATTCATATGCATGGCAAAACATTTCTGTCATATCTTTGTGACAATCACTTGTCATTTCTGTATATAAAATTAAATTCAGTTACAAAGCCTTTGTTTATAACCTTCTAGAATGTTCCATCACTTGTTATAGCATGGAGGGGCAATAAACCCAGCAGGAAAGCAGGTGCAGGTATATATTGAGTTGGGGTTGAGAGAGCGACTCTCTTATTTTTGGTGCCATTACGGGAAGAACACGAAGGAAACCAGCGATGACAAGACTACGCAAAGGAAGAATTATGAAAGTCAACAGGCTCTGCTCTAATCAATGAGACAATCAGGAAAAGTTGGCAATTATGCAACATAAAAACTTGAGGAACCTCTCATGTACAAGTGTCTCCTCTCCCTTATATTTTCAATTGTCTACTGATGATAGGATCGTCATGTAGGAAAATATGCAGATTAGACTAATACATAATTGTTGTAAAAAGACGAAATGTCTGAGTTTAACAGGAACCTGAAGCGTTGTAACATTTGAAAACCCTCTAATATCATGTATATCGCATTTGATATTCACTCAACTTTGTGTTGAGAAAATAAAAAATTGCATCTTTATGACTTCAATTGTGTCAATCAAAAGTGGACACAACCAATTGGTCAATTGTAAAATTTAAATTGAAATTAAGCTGATGTTCTTAAGAACAGTCTGTTTTAGAACATCTGTTTCTGAAACAGTCCATTTCAGAAGTTTAAAACCTAAGACTGGAAACATTTTTGAAGTGAATCTTACACCATATTGCTTGACTAATTCAAGGTTTGGAAGGTGTTTATTTCTCGGTTCTGTAAAAGATTTATTTTTTGTAACCATAAATTACAAAAGCAAAATTTCTATTTAGAATGTTTTGTTTTCTTAGAATACTGCCAAAAGTATATTCTGAAATAAGTTCAACAAAAATTAATTTATAGTTTAACCCTAAACTGGTATCATTGGTTTGAAAAACTTCTGCGATTCTTTTTCTTCTCAGACTTTGAGATACCTTTAAACTAAAATAAGCCATATTGTCTACCTTCATGATGATATGTAAGCAGCATACACAAGAAAAGAATATCCATGACTGCTTTCTACGATGAATAAAAGTAGCTTACTTTTCCCATGCAGTCTCACAAACCCAATGATTTCCAATTTCTTTAGAATTTCCACTGAGTTACCCTTGTCAACTAAATGCATTTTCATAGCTGTACTTTCATTAGTTTCTTTTTAAGTGACTGTAAATTGGATGTATGATCTGCATTATAGTTGTTAGTGTACACCTTGAATACTAGCAGCAGTTTTTATAAAATACATTTGTTTACAGTATGACACTGCAATTTGTTTAGTATGAGCCAATAAAATCTGTATAATGTATTTTAAAAAATAATAAAGTAAAAAATTTATTTTTGTACGTTAATTGATTAGTAAATAATAATATATATAAATATTTTATGAAAAATAAAATTGAATTAGGTTACAGAAAAGAATGAAGAAACACTGCATTCTGAGTCCAGTTAAAGGTTAAGAAACAAATCATTAAAGTGGTATGGTGGAAAAACAGCATATTTCATATTATGAAGTTGTCAAGAAAAAGGAGGGTTTGTGTTTCAATTCACTAGCATTTTAACATACAATAGTTTATTAATGTAGGTGTACAACACCTTGGAGATGTAACCAAACTGTGAAAGTTTCTTAAAAGATGGACTGATGATTCACAAATCCAAGTTTGTTAATAATTCATTTTCTGTAGTTTCTTGGTATATTCCATTTCTCAACTAAACCCATCAGTTAAAAAAGTTTTTAAAATGAAATTATACTGGAATTCCAACACTAATTGGTTGATTGAAATAACTCAAAACAGCAAAAAACACATTTATCAAAAAATCCTTAATTTGTTCCAGTGATATTTAATGAAAAATAAAAAATCTTTTGGAGTAATATAACAAACACACTAACCTTATATTTATCCCAGCAGGATAGTGAAAAAATTAACACAAAACAAACTTTCGGTCTGCTTCAGGTTGATGAAATTGCTTTGATAAATGAAGATGGAATGACCTGTAGAAAATATTCCATTTTTGTTTTGTGTTAATTTTTTCACCATCCTGCTAAGAGAAACATAAGGTTAGCATGTTCTTTATTTTATTTACTTGTCTGCTTTGTGGAAGAGTAGAATATTTAACTAATTAAAAAGTATAAATTGTAACAAATATATTTATATAATTTGTTACTTTTTAAGTTTTTCTTTTTAATTACTTTTGTACCTCATTCTGTTTATTTTATATTTTATGTATTCGAAAGTTTTGTTTAATCTTTAAAAAAAACATCATTGTTTGATTTATGCATTCCTTCATAGAATATACGAACCTGAAGATAATCTCCATTTGCATATTGAAAGCATTAGTCTAAAAAGTTTTCATTTTGCATTAAATCTCGCTGCTGAAATCAATTAAGGCTTTTTGGTATATGTGTTTATTCCTGAAATTATACTTACATCATCACTCATATCCCTCTCATCCTTGTGCCTCATCAGGCAGCGATAAACACGGCCTTCTCCCGAATTCACTTTTGAACAGAATCTTTCACGATCTTCTCGACACGCAAAAAATAATGGCCGATCGAGATGAAAATCATCACCCTGCAGTTCAGCAATACGAAGTATTTCATGCTGACATATTGGCGATAACTTTTCTGTTTCTTTTGATAAGCATTCTATAGTTCCACCTTGCGAATGCAGCTCCTGTTTATTTAAAAATAAAATTCCTAATAAAGTAAGTTTTTAAAACATTAAAAGTTCTTATAAAAACATACTATATCATCATCTCTTTTCTATAAATAAAATAACAACAACTGATTAGATTCAAATTATAATTTTTGCCAAATATGCACTGTTCTAATTCAACAATTTTTATTTATGGGGCTCTGACAATAGCTCTGAGGTTCCACTACAGAATAAATAAAAATTAAATCATAAATATAAACCATTAATATATTATTATTATAATATATAAACCATAAATATATTGAAATATAAATAAAAATTAAATTTTTATTTATAGGGCTTTAACAATAGCTCTGAATTCATGAAGAGCATCTTTACAGTATGTGAAAAAAAAAAAATCCTTTCCAAACCATTCATCCAAGCATTCATCTGCCATCACAATTTTCTTGGAAACTGCCATAATATGTATATAAATGTCTCATCTATATATATAAAAATGAATGTATGTCTGTGTGACTGTCCTTCATGCATTACCACACCATTTATTCAATTGCCATGAAACTTTGGGAAGTTGTTTAATTAATATACTCCTGCGAAGGTTTCTGGCATAGTACATTTATCCTACGATAGATGGCGCGCATGTATAAGAGCATTTTACTGTGTGTTCGATCAATTTCAAATTGTGAAGAACATTTCCCCCCTCCAAAAAATATCTCTATATATGCATTTGTGAACTGTTATTTATGATATTTGTAATAATTTTTAACCACTTTATTTCAACTTTTTTTGCTAATTATGTACTTGCTCGAACTTCATTAAAACCTTAACTGTATCCCGAACAACAACCGAAGTAGTAGGAGGAAATTCGCCTATTTTACCGATCTAGGGATCCCCCTTTTCCAAATTTTAATATTGACTCAAAATAATTTAAAAAGACAAATTACAATAAAACGGTTTATTATCCAACTATCAGAAATTTCACAACATGCCAAGGAAGAGAGGAAGGAGCAATTAAATAATCAAAATTATAAAAAATTAAAAAATATATATAAAAATGGGGAATATCGCACTTTCTGACAATCTCTGCAAGTATGTGGGCTAAATTTAAAGAATCCATGCTTCTCGCATGTACAACTGTATGTGGCCAGCTCACGCATTGGAAAATCTTCCGATTTATTCGTGTACGCACCAGACGGAAAAACAAAAAATATCGTGTATCCACAAGCACTCCAATAAATAAATAGAATTGAAACAACACTTTGAAATATTTTCCCAATGAAAATTAATAATAATAATAATAATAATAATGTAATAATAATAAGTTTCAATAAAAATGATAAAATGTAAATTGAATTTTATCATAACGAGTTTGCTTGATTTTCCTTTCTTCTGAGATCTCAGCAATGTGCAACAGGTAAGCTAGTAAGTTTATAAATTTCTGGCAATTTTGTTTTCTATGTAATGACTTACATCCATATTCACTAACAATTCAAATTGAGAATTTTATAATCTGTGAACTAAAGCTTATAAATCTATATTAAGGTTTACTTTACTTTCTATATTCACTGACACAAGATTATAACATCCCAAGTTATGTTACAAGTTCTCCAGTTTGTCCAAATGCATCATATCACAACATATCCATGTAAACCATCATGGGCAAAGTATGAATGTGGTTCAAAATTTAGTAGATAACGGATTCCAGCAGTAAAAGAAACTATACTTATAAGACAATTATTCCCACCAATAGCTGAGGCAGACCTCTAAACTGGGTCGAAAACATTTTTTTTGATTAAACTATTAATGGAAAAGTAAGATGTAGTGATTGGTCAACAACATTCTAATTTCACTTTTAAAATACAAGTTTCTGCACATTTTGGTAAATTTCTTCAATTAATGTATGGTACAGTATCTATAGGCTTAGCAAAGATGCTACTCCATTTTATCAGCACTGTTGTGGTTACTGCCATAATATTTTTCTTCTGCAAATTTCCATTAAGCTGTGTTAATTCTCCAGGAACTTTGTTCACACAATTGGATACATTCTGCAACCCTGATGTTCACCACATTTATTTCAATGTTTGAGATTAAAAATATTTTGGATCTTTATTTAAAAATTTGGCTATGATTTTATGATCAGAAATATGCCTAGAAACTTAACTCTTATAGACATAATCAGTTTTACTACAAACTAAATAATGTTATATGTTTTTTGTAGCATACAAGTTTTGTATCATTTGAATCTTTGCAACTAGTTTGTTTGAGTGTCAGTTGTATTCCTATATGTGCATATTTATTGTTAGTGCTTATGAATATGTTTTAACTTTCTTGAATATTTTCCTTTTGTTAAGTTTGATGTTATGTTGTTTTTAGTGTAGCATGTCAGCCTACCTAGTTATCTAATGTTATTTGTTTTATTTCTAGTCTTTACTATGATCATCATCATTAGATAAATAGTTCAAAAAGAAAACTAAAAATAATTTTGTCATTTCAACACAATCCACATTAGGCTTTGGATCTCACTCTAAAGTTTTTCATTCCACTTAACTTCTAATCACTTTCAAGATAAATTTTCAGTAGAAATAAACAGGAATAAAAACAAAATATTTGAAATAAGACCTCCCAAACTGCATATCAATTGTGTATCACTTTTCAAAACCAAGTTTGGAAGTGCAGGATATATGCTGGTGCAATTTATGCAGAAAAGTTTATTTCTGTTCTAACAATTTTCTGCAAGATATATATACCAGTGAAAGTTACATGTCATTGTGAATTACACACAATAAATTATTATATCTAAGTTTATTAAAAATAAATTATCAACTTTTTCTTTAGCCAATTCTTACCTCAGAATTTATATCTATGCGACCACACTGAAGTTTATTAATATCGTCATTACAGGCATCCGTAAATTTATATATTAATCTATAATCACTAAATATAATTGTTTCCATCTTTTTTAAAAATGACCGGCATTCGGCATCTGTATTATTTTCCATGTAATCTATCAAACAGGATAACATTTGACTCCTGGCTCCAATTGGTTTGCATTCTTCATGCTAAAAATCAATTAAAAATCTACTTTAAACTTATTGTTACACAAATATTTCTGAAATTTTTATGCAGTTTTATTAAATCTTATTTTATGCACATATCTTATTTAAATTCAATATATTACAGACATTACAAAAAATAACTTAATATTAAATTTTCTTCAAATGTAAAAACAGTAAATTACACAAATGAAGAAATTAAGTAGAAAATTGCAATAAAATTTCAAAATTGTATTTTATACATTATTAATCCAATTTAAAGTTAGTATTGTGAAAACAATATGAAATTCAACACAAATGACAGCATTTTTTCCAAATTCTACTTAAATTTATGGGAATGAATAAAAAAGCAAGAAAGTAATATTTTCAGGATTCATTTCTAAATTGAACCAAATTTAAATTAAATTTCTTTATTATCTATAAATTGTAGTTAACTTATTTGTAATTTTTCTGCATTTTATGTTTGGAAAGATGATACACTGCATTAAGTGTACTGTACATAGTACCATTGAGGATAATTTGTTATCTTTTTAAAATAAAATAATAATTCCTAAATAACTCACTATATCTTAAATAGTTTGTGTGGACTTGGTTCACTTTAGAATTAAATCCTTCATTTCTTCCATATATACCAGACAAACTTTACCTGCTGCAGAAATTTTCGACACATACTGTTCGCTGCATTAACAAAACGTTCGTCTAACGTCAAATTTCTCTTGTATGTCCATATTAACTATAAAGTAAATGATTACAACCAATGAAAATTTAATTTATTAAAAAAGTATCAGATAAAATTATTTATTAATTAAAATTTATTTAACTAAACATCAATTCTTTATTGATAAAATCTTAAAAAATAATGCATAAAATAGTAAATTTTTAAATGTAAATTTATAAATTTTAGCATTTTCAGATATTTCTGATCAATCTATTAAAAATGTTTTAAGAAAATTATATTATAAAATACATCTAAATTCTTTCAAACTGAAGTAATTACCCTCAAGATTACAAGAAAATTATTCAAATATTTTCAAGAATTTGAAGAATAAAAATTACATCCTCTTTTAAACTCACAAAACAGCCTTCATAAGCAGCAAAAAAGTTTTAATCATCAACATTTTCAATCATTTGCAATGACATCCTTCAGGTAACATAAATAAATTGATCATCATTAAATTTTTTGCTGTTTATGAAGGTTGTTTTGTGAGTTTATCATCTTACATAACAATATCTAGTTGTGACATTTTGCTTTTCAAATATTTCAAAACCAGGGCACTATAATGATAAATCATCTAAACTATTCAGTTGGTTACATAAAAAACTTATCATAACTTCAAGCGAATTTTCAGTTGGTTATTGCTGTTTAAAGGACAATCTGAAAATGAGTATTAATTACATTGGTAACCTTTGCTTAATTCCAGTATTTAATAACAATGAACATTTTCAAACTGTTTGACTGTCCTACTTCAGGTCAGTTATACATGTTCCATTTATAATGCTCGTTCTATAGCATTACACATTCGAACTCAATTCAAAATTTCAATTATTTTTTGCAATTTACGAAATTTAAATTTATCAAATAAAATTTTACAACTGATGTATTCTATATAATTTTACATTAACACACCATAGTTTAATTGAATTATTATAATAATCTTTTATCGAGGTTATCGTAAAAACTTCCCAAACACACGATAATGAATCTGCATCTCGTATATTAATGCACTCTCTCTTCAAGGCTGTTTTAAATATCTCTAAGAATTTTGTTTCTTCTCTAATAAAACACTTTTTAATCAATGCTGCTTGCTCACTCCAATTTAGCTTCAATTCCTGGTTCCACTGTTTGTAGATAAACCTGTTTGTTTCTCACTTTCAATATCATATTTGTATTCTTTAATCCTGTGCTTCTAAGAATGTATTTGTGGCTTCTATGTAAATTAAATCCTTGTCAAATCTGTCACCCTTTAATGGTATGCTATAAATTCCAGGAGCTCTGGTCCTATCTATAATATCTTTATCATTTTGCAGCATTTTGTACAGAGTATTGTCCCTTTTGTATGCCAGCTCTGTTCTTCCAATACATGTAATTTCTTTTTACATTGGTTTCATCTTCTTGTCATGTTCCACCACTATGTTTCTAGACTCTGCTGAGATATGTTTTCTGCACTGCCATACTGAATTAATATGAATCAGTATGGCAGTGCAGAAATTGGAACATAGCAACACATTTGTCCATTTTTTGGATATTAAAATCAAGTTTAAAGAAACAGCATACATACCAATGTTTATTATAAACCAGAATGCATTTCTTTATCCATTCCAGTTTAATCAAATAATACATTTAGATATAAAGTAACTGCATTTAAGTTGTTAGTCAAGAGGGCATTTACCCATTGCACCAGATTTGAGAACACGATCATAGACCTTAAGCACATAAGGAGAAAAGCGATAGCACATGGGTACTCGATAAAACTCTTAGAACATTTAGCAGAAAAATACATATTGGGTCGGGAAAAAGAAATCCATTATTTTTACGTTTATTTCAAGACTTTATTTAACATGGTTTGGATTGTCCGACTTGGATCAAATGTGCATCGTTTTGTTTTATAATTTGTTGCCATTTTAAAGGTAACTTCATAATGCCTCTCTCATAGAAGCCCTGGTCCCTATTGGCAAAAAACTTGACTAAGCAATTTTCACAATCTTCTCTTAATGCCAATTTCTTATCACTAAGGAAGTTTTGCAATGATAAAAAAAATGGTAATCGCTTGGTGCCAGGTCCGGACTATAAGGTGGATGCATTAAAACTTCCCAACCAAGCTCCCGGAGCTTCTGGCGAGTCACTTTAGACATGTGTGACCTGGCGTTGTCCTGTTGAAATACAACACCTCTCTTGTTGGCCAATTCTGGCCGCTTCTGGTCAATCGCTAGCTTCAAACAATCCAATTGTTGACAGTAGAGGTCCGAATTTAGTGTTTGGCCATATGGAAGCAGCTCATAGTAGATGATTCCTTTCCAGTCCCACCAAATGCACAGCAAAACCTTCCTGGCCGTTAGTCCTGGTGTGGCTACCGTTTCAGCTACTTCACCATGCTATGATCACGAATGTTTTCGCACAATATTGTCGTATGTAACCCATTTCTCATCCCCAGTCACCATCCGTTTAAGAAATGGGTCGATTTTGTCAGACTGCAATTTTTAATTTATTTTATTTAAAATATACGCGCTCCACCTCCAATTAGTACTGTAGTGGCTTGCCCCTGTACATCATCCGTTCTGTTAGCAATGGTGTTGTGCCAGTCATCTATTAACTGCTTTCAGGGAAAAGTTTTGAATTGAAATAACTTGCATGACTTCCAGCCTGCTTCAGAAGTTTGTATATAGTTAATCAAGGCTTCCTGCCTAAGGTTTCCATATCTGGTCTCATCTTTTGTCTATCTAACTTTGTTCTCAAAATTAAGGAAAGACAGACAGACAGACACCAGATAAACAACAATGAGAATTTACAGGTCTACATTTTTCCAAACTGCAGCCCAATAAAAAATACCAAAATAAAAAAATGTTTCCAATACTATTAAAAAAACTGTTTAGTAAGTTTAGCTATTTTGTGGAGTATAGTGCCAATTTTTCCTCATCTATGAATTTATCTGAGTATAATAGCATGCCCTTACGTGCACATAAATATGGTACTCTTCAAAATTAAATTATTTTTTATTTGTTTTTTCTGTCGCAACTAGGTGCACAGACAGACACTGAGCATTTTTGACATCAATGTATATAAGTTATCACCTCTTTACAAGATATCTCAAAAAGAAATGCCAACAGAAGAGGGGCATACATCTGAAATGCATCCCAGTCCACAAGATATTCCTGAATAAAGATTGATGTCAAAAATGCAAAGTGTCTGTCTATGCATCTAGTTGTGACAGAAAAAACAAATAAAAGAAGACACTGTTTCAAGATAAGCAATATTTTTTATGTTAGCAAATGAAAAAAATGTTGGCTATAACAAACTATTTCCAACAGTCTGTACAGGTCCATTATAAGCAGACAATATTGTATAAAAAATTCTCATAAAATATTTTCATTGAGAAATTTCTGTAACAAGTGGAAACTGCAATGACAGATAGCAAAATACTCAAAAAAAAACCATTAATTACAGTGAAAGCTTTAATTAATTATTAATAACTCATGTTTTCAGCACATACCTAATTTTATGTTCTACCTGATGTTTTAATTCAGGTAGAACATAAAATTGAATATAAAACCTACCTGAGGAAAGCTGGGTATTTTTGAATGTTGTAAAACATCCATAAATATGTATTTTCAAACTACACAGAGCTGTAATTTATATTTATTATATTTGTAAATAATGTTATTTTAAGTGCAATAAAATACTTCAATAAAATAAGTCACAAGATGTAAATATTGAAACTGTTTAGCTATGGTTTCTGAAACTCTTCACATTTGTTTCAATTTTATTTAACAAAGTTTCACAACACCTTTCTTTCTTTTTTCTAGCACTTTCTTTAATTTAACTAAATGTTAAAATGGTCAAAAACATTAGTTAAATTAAAGAAAGTGCTAAAAAAAAAAAAAAAAGATGTTGTGACACTTTGTATAATAAGTTCTAATTTACTGCACATTCAATTTTATTTATCTATTATCTATTTAAAATAATGTTTAAATTATATTGAATAGACTAGTGAAATGTCAAAATTCTAATTATAACACAAAACGCTTCATTCTTAAGACAGAAGTATCATTTAAAGGAAATAAATTTAAGGAGAATTTTACAAGAAACCTTGTTAAGTATAAAAATGGAATGCAAAAATTATATTTATTTTAAAATACAGAAACAATATTTGAATGACTAAAATTTCATCATTATGTTTTAATAATAAAGTCAATCCTCCCTAATCTGCCATCTCCATTATCCAAAGCACGTAAATATACCAGAAATATCCAGCTCAAATTATATTTGAAAAAACAAACATTTTCAATAATTTTTAAATTGTCACCTTCAGATTCAAATGTTGCTAACATTGCAGTGGAAAGGCCCTTTTGGATAGAATAATAGTGCTCTTGATACACTTGCTCCTATACAGACCCATTTCTTGTTGAATCTGTTATCTATAATGGGAATAGAATATGTCCCAGATGAATTCTGTGTTTTCATAGGGTCCTTGGCATTCTGAAACAAAGAGAATACATTTAGGTTTCTCATGTAGGAGATAGTAAGTTGGTTTGTTCTCGCAATTTGTTAGTACCTTAAAAAAATGTCGGTTTTAGATTTGTCCTTCTTGGATGTGTACTCGGATTGATATTTACAAGTGAAATTTTGGACAAAGCTCATATACCATCAAATTGCAAGAACAAACCAATTTAGTATCTCCTAAATGAGAAACCCAACTGTATTCTCTTTATTACAAAATGCCAAGAACCCTATCAACACATAAAATTCATTTAGGGTATATCCTACTTCCATTATAGACAACAGATTCAACAAGAAATGGGTCTACATAGGAGCAACGTCTTGATCTCTTTACAGCGGTATCAAGGAGCACCATTATTTTATACAAAAGGGCCTTCCCATCACATTCCAAACAATGTTAACAATATTTGCATCCTTTAACCTGAAGATGACAATTTAAAACATGTTGAAAACATGTTTTTTCAAGTATAATTTGTGCTGAATATTTCTGGTATATTTACATGCATTGGACTTAATTAATCCAGTTTTATTAAGTATGTATTTATCATCCCCTTATCTGCCACAAAAATTCCCAAGAATGGAAATTTGATGAACGTATTTCTACCTGAATTTCCATTCAACAATTACTGGAAGGAAATCTGCTGAAATGTGGTTTTATTGGCAAGCTTAATGTATTTTGTTTACAAAGCAGACCCAGACCAAGTGACCCATATGCGCATGTGTCCAATCCTCTTGGAAGTGCAAGTTAATTTGTTCATTTCAGGCTGTAATAGAAATTCACTCCACTTCCCAAGAAATGTCTACAAAACAGTGCAAAAACACTATGCTCCTTTTCCAAGAATTATTCTGATCTACACAACTACTATTAGGAAATGTCCTATGGTAACGACATGCTTCTTAACACCACGTGATAGATACATGTGGTTGAAATTTCAAATAAAACCTGCACCAGCTTATCCTCAACAGATCCTCTAGCCCAGGTGTGGCCAAACTTTTATCCCTTAGGGGCTACTTTTTTGGTAAAATATAGTCTGTGGGCAATTATGAATATGGGCAAACAATTTTAGGATTTTTATTTGCGCATGTGTTAACATTCATTTGCATTGTTCATCGGGATAAATACAAACAGTATGGGTACATTGCACAGACAGTCTATTATTGTAAGAATAAATTATCGAATTAAGATTTTTAAACATTAATTTAAGTGAAAGCAAATTGTTCAACTTTAGCTTCACAGACTACTTTCAAAACCTTTGCGGTCGACCAGTCGACCGTGGTCTATGTGTTGGCCATCCCTGCTCTAGCCTGTCCTCCAGTCTGCTTTGAAGAACAGACATTGAATAGCACAAGAAAGTCATTTAAATAGCCTGTCAGTTAACTTGTCTCAGGAAAAAGTCATCTATGATCTCATTAGTAGTGTAGAAAAAAATATCAATGTCCACTGTGTTTCTTATTATGCAGGTGTGATCTTGCAAGCTGGAGACTCATCAGAAAAAGCAAATTTGTTTTTTTATTGCTAGAATCCTTCGAAGACACAGAAGGCCATCACAGGAAATTTTTCTCAAGTGTTTAGGGTCAATATTACTTGCCAAAGAATTGGGGACATTCTTTCAGAGTCAGGACAATGGGAGCAAGTAAAAAACTTCATAATTATGTTAAGCAAGAAAGAAATGTCAAACATGGTAACTCAGAAAAGCTCTCAATTTGCACATTGAGCTAGTGAATGCTTTTGGTGCAATTGTTACAGATGAGCTAATTAAACTCCAGGCAAAGGACTTATGCATGAAGTTCAAGCATACATAAGATCAATGTTGGAAAGTCTGTCAACTGGAATTTGCTTCTTACTGATGCCATTTGATTAATAGTGGAAACTTGGCAGAAAGTAACTTCAGTGACAATTTCAAATTGAAGCATATTGGTTTCATACATCCTGATTCCACTGAAGATCAGACAGCACTCTCACCAGAAAGCTAGGAGCTTTCCAATTCTCTAGCTACTGTTGTCCTTTAGTTCAAGCAAACACTATCCTTCAAGTTAAAGATGATGTACCAGCTTCTTTTTGCAAGATGACTCTCGACGACATAGTTGAATTTGTGCAGAAAGAAATCGAGAATACACTAGAATAAATGACAATGTTTCTGATATTCATTCCATTGGAAAATTGCTGGAGTATGTCAATAAAATTTTAAAGGTTTTTGCAAAGCAAAAAAGACAGCAAAACTTGAGCATGTTACGGCCATTGCTCACATGCAATGGCCTGCAAAGAGAATACAAAACACAAAAAGATGGCAAATAAAAACTAAGAATGTTTTTTAAACAAGTCAGTTAAAAAGTCTATGTAAAGCCATATCCATGCAAAATGTATCAATAATGAAAACAATATCCAAGATAATAATAAAGTTAATACTATATCCAGTGTACAAGTTAATGAGACTTACTGTAATAAAAATTAGTTACAAAATAAAAATCTTTTTGTTGATGCTGCTCTAATCCCCACCCCCATAGCCACCTAAAATTTTGAGTGAACAAAGATGGGTGGATTACAGAGGGTCGACTCTATATTTAACTTAAATTTATTGAAAACTAAATATCAATCATTTTGTTTAGCTATTTTTAAATATTTGTAAGAGAAATAAAATAAAATCATATTAATTTGTCAACTTACGTGATGGCAGGCTGAACTGAGATCGGCATCTTCTATTTTCTAAAGAAAATCAAAAAAGTTTTCATAAGAATTAAGATATGGAAAAACATAATTGAAAATAACAATTCATTAGAAAAATCAACAGATCCAATTTGAAACTATCAGCATGCAAAATATTACACAGTATAACTTAATCTGGCAGCTTAATTAGAGCAATACCAGATTACCAGACATTTTTGTACTTATGCAAAATTTTATGTTATATTCAATCCAAAAGAACAGTGTCTACCGACTCGACACAAATGAGTTAACTGTAATAAAATGTTTCATTTTCTCGATTCCACAATCGATCTCCCCGTGCCTAGCAACATGCGGAGCCACTCCCCCTACCTCTGCCTCGATTTCTACCAGGGATCTTTGGTGCAATGAACACCTAAAAAATTCCAATTCACAAAATACTAAAAATACTGGATTACCAGACATTCGGAATTATCCGTTGCCAAATTTACAAACTTCTACAATTTTAAATTATTATTAATTTATTCATATTTTTATTGGTTTGCTTGGAAAGTTCATACAACTTTTAAGAGAATAAAAGAAATTGTTTTAAAACTAAAAATATACTTTTATTCCATTACGTATGAGCCATTGTTTTTAATGACGTGTTGCAATCTACATGGCAGCTTCATAATACCCACTTCATAAAACTTTCCAGTTTTTCCCGCGAAAAACTGATCCATGTGGTTTTGCAAGCTTCCAAAGTATCAAAGTTTTTATCACGAAGGGAATTTTGCAGAGAACGGAATAAATGGCAGTCTAATGGGCAAGGTCGAATGAGTATAGGGGTGGGATATTTTATCCCACCCCAGTTCCAATAATTTTTGGTGTGTTCGTAAAGATGTGTGAGGTTTGGCATTATCTTAGTGAAACACAATGTCTTTTCTATTGGCCAGTTCCAGACGTTTTTCTTTTATTGCCACGTTCAGTTTATCCAATTGGGAACAATACTTACAGAATCAATTGTTTGATTCTGTAGAAGCAACTCGTAGTACAGGATTCCTTTCCAATCCCACCAGACGATGAGCATAACCTTCTTTGGATGAAGACCTTTGGGCTGGCCTTAGAAGTTTTTAATGGTAGTTCATTTTTCTTACCCCATGATCATTTTTGGCTGATGTTATAAACGATCCACTTTTTGTCACCTGTCACTAAATGCTTCAGAAAAGGGTCATTTTCATTTCGTCTTTCAAAAGAATGACAAATGGAGATGCGATCCAGTAAGTTCTTTTCCGTTTAGTCATGAGGTATCCAAATGTTGTAAGGATTCACATATCCGAGCTTCTTTAGATGTTGAAATGCAGTACTGTTTGATGACTTCACTATGACTGCAATCTCTCAAGTTGTGTAATGAGGGTTTTCATTCAATAATGCTTTGATCTGGTCCTCTTCAATAACAGGAGGTCTTGCTGAGTGGGGAGCATCTTCAAGGCTGAAATTACCCACTTTAAATTTTGCAAACCACTTTCAAACAGTTGATTCTGTTACAGCACTCCCACCATAAACATCACATATTTTTTTTGCTGTTTGTACAGCATTTTTGCCTTTACGATAAAAAAAGAAACAAGTGCCGATAACGCACATTGTTCGCATCCATTTTTGCAACGAGACAAATTAAATGCTATTTGAATAATCTTAATAGCTTTTTGTAACGGACACATCTCAAGGTCATTTATCGTAATATTCACTGGTTTGTACAATTCTAATCATTTTCGTGTCAATCACTGTCTCAACTGTCGGCTATCAAAAATTGCTACAAACTTTCCAAACAACCCAATATAATCTAAACTATTAATAACATTATTATGTTTCTAAAATTTCATAGTAACGTGTATTTTGTTTCTAATAATATATAACAATACAAAATTTATAAACTTATCTTAACAAACAAACTGCAACTCCCACAAGATTCATTCATAGATTTAAATATTTTCTTATTTATCATAATCAATCTTTAATCTTTTTAAATTGAAGTTTAACTAGAAGAAGATACATCATTTTTTCCCACAAATTACACTTCAATAAATGATGAAAACTTTTTAAATTTTAATAGCACAATTGAAAGATTTGCAGAACTTTTTTACTGCTTTACTGAAGCAGAACTTTAAATTTCCTATTAGCAATTCCCAGTTAGCATTCATTATTGTCGGTAACCTTATATAAAGCAAGATGGAATATATTATTCCGACTAGAAATTCTCAATACCTACCTCCATTTCCTGTCTTAAAACCTGCAAGTTTTATTCTACAAGCAATTCTGTTTCAAACTATCATAAAAATACTCTTCCAAAAATTACTGTTAAAATATTAAATACAGTGGATATAAATTCTATAATTTTTTTTCAAAAGCAATTTTGATAATTTGTAGAAGCAACTAACCTTAACTTTGAACCCTCGAAACTTCCAAATTACTGGAAATTTGGTTTCCATATTTAACCAATAACATCGACATTCTAAAATAAAAAATAAAATGCTGCCATTTTTTAGCAACGAGTAAAACCCAACTTTATATTAAAACTCAAAGCTGGAAAAGATGGCTTCACAATGTAAGAAAGACTCTCAAAAGGGTTAGAGTCAAGATATTTATTCAAATTAAGCCTTTTTGGGATTTTCAATCCCATCTTCAGATTCAAACAGAACAATCGTTTGTACGTAACTTTCTCAACGTAACCTAAAAGGTTACATTCAAAAATTGAGAGCCAGTGCAGCAAGAGTTTTGTTCCATATATTTTTAATTCACATTGAAGATTTAAGAATTTTGACTTTAATGCAGGGCTGTGGAGTCGAGTAAAAATCTACCGACTCCAACTCCGACTCCGACCTTTCCTAACCATCCGACTCCGACTCCGACTAGGAGCGGGCTTGTTACCAAAAGAAACCCGGAAATTCTGATGTCATCACGTGACCTCAGAATAAAATATTCAATAAATAGAGTTGTAATAAAGATAGAGCATAGAAACTTTTTATTCCAAAGCTAAAAGACTTCTTTAAGTAATATATAAATATGTATTCGATAATTTTTACTTTTCCGGCTGTTATATATAACAGAGGAAAAGTGTAGCGCTCGGTCAAAAAATGACCCCTCCCAAATATTTAGTATTTTTGGACTCGGGACACCTTGAAATTTTGAGATATGCAAAAGATTCGAGGTCTTTTTCTATATGTGTGGATGTTAGACTGTGTGTGGGGGGCATGATTTTGTTCACCCTGTTTGAAGCCTAATAATTTCTGTGGTCAGAGTGGTCAGAATCGGAGTCAGATGGTTTAACACAGAAGTTAGTTATTTAGCGTCAAAGTGGTTGAACTAAATCGTGTCCCTAAATACACTCTAACATCTTAGGCGAGAACATCTTAACGGGTTTTACTGTACTATTATAAAACGGCAAAAAAGCTTACTTTGAGGGTAAAGACGAGTTTTATTTTATTATTTTTTTTTAATTTTGAACGTTAATAACGAGTGAAATATTCATTAAGAGATATGACACATGACCATTTTTTTGTCTTCACCCTATCGTTCTTTAATTAAGAACAAAAATTTAATAGTATTAATGCCTCTTTATACGCGAGCTACAGTATCACATTTCGTTTCTTAAACTTTACCCATTCTGAGATATTGTTTAATATCTCAGAACAGAAAATAAAGAAATTAAACAAATTAGACGCCAAGAAACACACACACAATTTTTTCCCTTTTATTGACTTTTTTGAGGGGTTCGGAAGGTCTCCAAACGTGTAGATTTGCAAAAAAAAAAAGAAAAAAACTTGGAGGGTCAAATTTGACACGATTCCAACACTTCTCCGTTTTATATACATAACAAATTGATAAGTAAAAAGGAGTCGGAGTCGGCGGATTTTTTGACGACTCCGACTCCGACTCCAGCTAAAATACCAAAACTCCACGACTCCGACTCCGACTCCACAGCCCTGCTTTAATGTTAGTTGAAGGTTCAAACCTGAGTCTAAGCCATTTTAGACAAAGAATCGAGAAATTTCCAACATCTATAACACCTTTCCTGACAAACAATTATTGTATACTTTTGTATTACTTCACAAATTTCAAAAAGTGAAAAATTGTAGTAGTAGGCAATGACACTGGGATAAGTTAAAGAATATTTAATTGAAAAACATCATTCTATACCAACAAAACAAGCCTTTCTAACTTCTATAAATTATAACTTTGTCAAACCGAAAACGCTAAGTCGTAAATTTGGCAAGATTGTATCGTAAAGATTTGCACAAAGATCTTTCCGACACGATTCGTATATAAATCGTACCCATATCGTTTTCCTAGCATTACTAAAATAATTAGGCAAAATTTAACTTTTAAGTAATACAATCTTGTTATATCCGTGAGAATAACGATAACTCATAACATATATAACTAGCTTTATTAACGTAAACGTAACTATGAGGCGAACAACGTATCGTCGTGTCCAGGTCTAGGGGTTACAACAGCTGAAAGACGACTCGTTCAGACAAAGAACACACATGAGGTCCGAGGTGTGGGGTGACCTAAGTAGGTCAAGGGGCAATTCCGGTAGCGGTCATCCCCTGGCGGTTTACATACATAACAAATCTGCACAGTTTTCTCGATTTTTAACGTCGATATTGCCAGAACATACATACTTCCACAAAGCGAAACATTTTAAAAAGTAAAGAAACAAAAAACCCAGACATTAACAAATATCCTATTTCCATCAAAAACAGCCAAAAAGAAAACAGAATCTAAGTGTGTGTTACGTGGGATTTAGTGCATCTTACATGCACGTCATTTAAAACAAGCATTTTCGGAGCACGGTCGAAACACTGCAAGTGGCGAGTCAAGCAATTTCTGCAATTTTATTCACGAATACATCTCTTCGACTGCAAACTTTGGAAACGAGTAAAGTGGCCCGCCACGGCAAGACGACCGATCTGATCTTTCGAAACAACATCGAGGCAGATGCCGAAACGTCAAAAAGCAACGTATCTTTTGATCTTTCCGACGCCGAACGCACCCAAGCAAACACGAGTCCATCCGGAACTCGCCCTTCCGTCACACCCCGACGTTCCAAATAATTCGGAGAAAGGAGTACGACGACTCCAAAAGGAAAACTTTCCGGCAAAAGGCGAAAGAACTCCGCACTCTCCGCCCGGCCGGCAGAGCGTCCCGACGCGTGGCCCGGCCCGACGCCACCCTCTCCGCCGAAGTCGCCCCGGGAGACGAGGGAGAGGGACAGCCGTCCGGAAACGTCCAAAACGAAGCACCTAGAAAGAGAGAGTCCGTCCAGAAACGGACCTCCTCCTCCGGGCGTAGAGGTGCTGACTGTTCCGAGGAGGAGAGAAGGAGAAAGACGGGCAACGTCTCCGCATTTTTCCCGGAAGAAACGGAGGGGCGCGATCCCGCATCAGAGATCCTCCCCGGAGGACGGGGAGCGACGGGAGGGGAAGGTCCGAAGAGAAAGGCAGAAAAGAGAAGGGGCGCGGGTTGCGGTGGAAGGCGAAGGCCCACCTTGTCGTTCTGCAGACAGTCGAGGACGGCGAAGTTGTTGCCGAGCAAAGAAGAGTCGCAGAGACGGCGAACGTCGCTCTTGCACTCCGGCGCTTCCGCCAACTTGATCCGTCCTCCGGAGCTGGAAGATTCGGGCGAGGTCTTGACCGTTTCCCTTCCGTGCGAAGGAAAAGAGGCCCGGTCCAGGCCGGCCGCCGTCAGCCACAGACACACGGCCAACAAGGTCCGCGTGCAAATCGCCGTCCCGCACCAGCAAAACATCCGACGAAAACACTCTCCGATCGACGCCATTTCCAATTTGCAAAGTGTTGCCAACCAGAAGCGGAATCATTTTTCGCCCGCGACTCTACCAAAAATCGCGGCAGGAAAGAAAAATAAAAATTCTAAAGTAATTTTCTGCGGTCGTTCTACGAATAAGATCCGAGGTGAAAATTGCTAAAATAAAATCGTTACGCCGAATATAAATTATTAATACAGTCGAGTTCGCATACGCCGAAGGAAAAATACCAACTTGTATCTGAACTTGAATGTAATAAAACTTCGCCAGCCAAATTATCAAAGCAAGAACAACATTAGTGGGAATTCTGAAGAAAAAAGAGGAAATTAAGAAAGTTTCTCGAAAACGCCAGAGAAAGTCGCCGTAGAAAGATGTCGAAGATGCTTTGGTACGTTGACTGAAGCAGATTCGTTCGTCGAATCTTCCGGTTTCGGGCCGATACCGAAACAAAAAGCCATGGAAATCGCTGACGTACTCGGAGTAGAAGCCAATTTTAGTGCCGGCGACGGATGGTCAGAGACATACTTCGCGTGTACTGTAATTCCCTAACTGTAGTTTTGTGATTTTTTCGACTTTGTTTTGGTGGTCATATCGGATGACTCGACTCGACTGTATATGTCATTATTCAAATGACATTTAAATAGTGAAATTTAAATGACGTTTCGTCCGTTTTCGAGAAAAATGGGAAAATTGGCCACCGAGCGGGAGAGGAAACCGTCGGAACTATCGTTAAGGTCGATTCACACCGAGAGAATAGCGAAAGCGAACGAGAAAAGCGATTTTTATTCGCTTAGCGAAATTGACCCGTACAATCAAAAGCGAAAAGCCATTGCGAATTTTAAGTTACCGGTTATTTGCAAGCAAAAGAAAACGTCATCTCGAAAAACAAAACGGCCGCTTTCGATGTTCCGTCGTTAATCACGTTGGCTTATTTATTGAGAGGGAAAAGTACACGTCGAAAAGAAAACGATGCTGGGTGAGCAGAATATTTAAAAAACCGTAAATTATCAATACAACATGTACTGTGTTGCTTGAGAAAGTTTCTGTAGCCATCTGGAAAACAACAAGAATCGTGTGAAAACTAACGGGAGTGCGATTCGGCTAGCGAGAAAGCTCGACCGTTCCGAACTTCGATTGCGTTATTGCACGCGTTATTTCGCTTTCGCGCTCAGTGTGAACTAAGCTTTACCGTTGGCGACGTGGCATTACCGAGAAGCAATGTTTTTTCTTTACGAAATATATGCCGTACGTTGCCAAATTATTAGACCCATCGATCAAAAGTAAAGTTTGCGTACCACTTTCTTTTTTCTGCGATGTTTTTGAAGCAACGAGTGTATCCGAATTTTATTTTCATTCCGTGTTACATCGCCAATATTTTTAGTAAAGTTTTTGGTTTGGCAACATTGTAAATGTCGAACGGTCAACTTACTAGAATGTAAGGTGGAAAAACGTTGCCAACGAGTCGGGCCTAGAGAGTGGTTACGCGAATGGCCGCCGTGTCTATTCCAAACTGCTTATTTAGCCGCAGCTACATACTATACTTAGTTCGGAAAACGGAAGTAATCTAGCGCTTGTTTAAATGTCGTTTTCGATTTTAGAATTATGTTTTACTATTATTATTTGTTTATTTACTATAGAGGAAAAGGTGGTATTATGGAACACTGCGGGTATTATGGAACCACCCCATTTCGAACCGATAATAAAGGCAAACTGTAGCGGATTGTGGCCGAACCGAACTAGGAAGACATTCATAGCGAGGGGAAAATCCGTTTTACTTCGGTTAAACGGTTGCCCGTATTTAATCAGCAAATTTGTTTTTTCAAAATTCGCAAGTTTTGAATGTTAAGTGAATTTAATTATTTTTAAAATATAAATCGTGTAGTTGTAGGTTCACCGGTGCACGTATTCCGTTCCAGAGACTTAGGGGTACATATTAATCTGCGCGATGTTCACGTTTTTTAAATTTTAGTCTTGACATACATAAGTTAATTGGAGATGGCGACCCCATTGGTGCTTTTACAGTAATATGGAACTCAACTCCTCCGAACTCTCTCTTTGCGAGCGGACATTCGTCCGGAGCAATTTGTGAAAAAGACACTAGGTAGAAAGTCAATTCTTCCTGAGAATATCGAAAAAGTGCTGCTGGAATATATACTGTTGATGGAGGTCATATTTTTCTATTATAAAAGCATTCTTGCGATAAATACATTGGAGTAAATAATTTTGTAATTATTTAACATTTTTTGTACTTTCCTATTTGTTTTTGGCTACATTAAAGCATTTTTTGAAAATATACTGTAAGGTTCCGTATTACCACCCGATTTTCTCTAAGCCTACTTTCTGACTTTTTGTACGGAAGCCTTTAAAAACCATACTTATAGTTACGCTAGCGAAAAATCCAATTAGGAACATTTAGTTTAATAGTTACCAGTACTTTTCGCACAAAAAATATGAGTGTAGTTATGATACCTTGTTTACAATTCACTAAAATGTAATTGGGGTTCCATAATACCACCTTCTCCTCTACTATTTAATCATTTTTGGAATTTGTTTATGATGAACATGTATACACGACGCGACCAGTGACAACCCGAATAATAATTAAAGTTATTTTATGTTATGTTCTAAAATGACACGAAAAGTGTCGGAGAACAAAAGTATCTATCCCGTCGTCCCGCCTATTCACTGGGTCATTTATTTTTAAAGTTATAAAAGAAATTATTGTTTTCCTTCGATTCGTTACCTTTTATATAATTCTATGGTACAGGCATACCTCGACTTACGTCGTTTCGAGTTACGTCGTTCCCGATTATACGTCGTTTGTCAAAAAAGTATATGGAAAAATAAAAATCAAGTTTAAGTCATTTTATTCGACTTTACGTCTGTCCACCACAAATATTGAAGTCGTAATATCACTAGAAAAACGTTTAAAGCACATAAAATCATATTAAAATATATACGAGTATGTTCTGTATTTACAGTACACGCATTCGTAAATTTAGAATACTTTTTTCTGCACTATATTAAAAACTAAAATTTATTTGTTTATAAGCTTAAAATAGATTCTTGTTAACCATATATTATTAAAAATGCATTAATAAATAAAATACAGAACTGGGAATAGTAATTTATGGTTTAGCCTAGTGACAAGTAGATTCGGAGACATGTAAATTCGACTTACGTCGTTTTTCGAGTTAAGTCGTTTTCCTGGAACCAATTAACGACGTAAGGCGAGGTATACCTGTACATATTTATATCGTTGCAAAAATAAATATTTAAAAAAATGCACTGGATCGGCAATAAATTCAATCTTCCGAACGATACGGGTGTGGAATATAATATACACATTTACCGAATTTTCCACCAACGATGCCAAAGGCTTTTGACATGGCCCGATTTATAGATCCATATCAGATATTAGGTATAAGTGAAGATGTTAGACAATTAATCCCACATCTTCACTATATTATATTTTTTAAAACAACAATCTATTCATTTGCTAGTACAAAAGTATGCAACAATCTGTTTCCACCTGGTAAATATACCACTTAACGTAAAGACTATTGAACGAGTAGCCAAGACAGCGTGATTTTGTAACGTTACTTCACCATAATATGTATTAGTACTGGTCATAATCATCCAAAATTAAAACGCATGGCGTTTCTTTATCCGTTTCCCTACCAACAACTTTTATTTTTAAAAAATCAAATACTTTGTACACTATCCGACTTTCAAATTTTACGTCAGGTTCTTTAAGACGGATAAGGCAGATGGCATTCGAGTAAACTGTCATAACTTTTTGAACCACGGCTAAATCTTAATTCTAATGTTGTATGTACTGTTTCATCGGGGCATTTTTTAAAACACAACGATTTTCGAGAAATGCGGGCAGGCTAGCGGTTAATCCTCTCTAAATGTTTCTTATCATTTTGGCCATCTTTAAATTTTTCTTTTCTATTCTTATCTAATTTTCTATGGAAATTGATTAATTTAAAGTATTTATTCTTTTTTAATAATATGCTTTTTAACTCATCAAATACTGAAATCTTCATCGAATATTGTAGAATTATCGTGTTGCGGGTTCGTAACTCGAGGCGCAACTCGCATCGTCTTTTCAAACTTTACGAGTGGAGCCTTTCCGCATTTTTTAGGTGGTGCGTAAGAAAATACCCAAGGATCAGCGTCGCGCTTTGATTTTCTAATTCCATCTCCCGCCGATCGTCGGGAAAATATACCCGAAAATCAAATTAAGTGTATCATTTCGGATATTAAGACGGCGCATTTTGAATTAAACAATTTACGCTATTACTTATTTAATTGCGTGGAACTTATACTTTGAACTTTACGAGAAACCTACGGTATAATGATTTAGTTGTTGTCAAAGAAAAGAATATACCACTCGCAAAGTAACTTATAAGTAAAATTTATCTTACGAGTTATTAACTAAGAAATAGATTTATATGATATGATATAACATATAAGTAGATTATATATTATACTAGCAGATGAGCCCGGCGTTTCCTGGGCAAAATATAACAGCAAATGTTAAGTTTATTAGATTATTTCGTACAGTACTTCTAACCCCTCTACTATATTATATTATAGTATTTGATTTATATTTACGAAGATTATCTAACGTNTCTAACGTAAAAGTTTATCACACCGAGTTCCCAATCCACATTATTTAATTAAATTGTGTACAGTAGAGGAGTAAAGAATTTTTAACACGTGTTAGATCGATCACTCGGTGTGATAAACCCTTTTCGTCCGATATAAATCAAATACTTTAATGTAACAAACATTAAAACGTAAATGTGAGATTGAAGGGTTGAAGCAGCCTAAACTTCGAGAGTGAGAACGGGGCTCTCTTTGTACAGGATGGTTTAAGTTTAAGGTTAAGACTAAGGCTGCGTTTACTTCTCGGCTAATAGAGAGGTTGCTGCCGACGTTTTCATCGCGAAAACGTGTACGTCGGACGTTCAGCGCCGCTTTCATGTACGCCTAGAAGTTTGACAATGGTGTTTGGAT